AGATTGAAGTAATACATAAGAAAAATACAGAACCGACTGAAATCCGGAATTATCGTCCCATTTCCCTGTTGAATGTGGACTACAAGATTTTTGCGACTATTATAGCATCACGTCTGAGAAAAATACTTGTAGGACTAATACATAGAGATCAGGCAGGCTTTTTACCGCATAGACAGGGACGGAATAACCTCAGAACAATTTTGAATGTGCTGGAATACGCAGAAGTACATCCAGATAAACAATTAGCAATACTATTCTTAGATGCCGAAAAAGCATTCGACAACATCAGTTGGGAGTTTATGATTGAACATCTACGAACACACTGCTGCGGAGAAGTTTTTGTTAATACTATAGAAGCCATCTATACTAAACAAAGGGCCAGAATCGTGATAAACGGTGATATGACTTCGGAAATAAATATTGGTAAGGGTACAAGGCAAGGGTGTCCCCTATCCCCTCTACTTTTTATATTCACCCTGGAGGTACTGTTAAATACTATAAGAAAGGATGAGGGGGTGAAGGGAATCAAAATTAAAGGAGAGGAATATAAAACACAAGCCTACGCGGACGATTTGGCAATAATATTATTAGAACCTTTGGAATCAATAGAGAGACTTATGAAATTATTACAAGAGTTTGGTAGCTTGGCAGGTTTCAGGGTCAATGTGAATAAATCTCAGATTATGACAAAAAATTGTGACAAACAGCAAGTTTTGGATCTCCAGAAAAAGACGGGATTTGAGGCACCAAACAAAATTAAATATTTAGGTATTAATGTGACGAATAGATTGAGTTCTCTATTTGAGGATAACTACGGCAAATTATTGGCGCAAATTAAAATAGACCTGAACAATTGGGGGAAGTTATTACTATCGCTTTCGGGAAAGGTGGCAGTTATAAAAATGAACGTCCTGCCTAGGGTATTGTTTATGTTCAAAAATATTCCGATTCTGGGAAATTTGACCTTTATAAATAAATTAGATAAATTGATAAGGGACTTCTTATGGCAAAAAAGAAGCCACGAGTGAAGCTGAAACTACTCCAGGAAAAAATAGAAAGGGGAGGGCTAGCGTTACCCGATTGACGTTTATATTATCAGGCTGCTGTAATGGTGTGGATACGCGATTGGGTGCAACTAAAGGAGACGGGAAATTTTAAAACTTGAGGGGCACGACTTAGCAGCAGGATGGCACTTTTTTATGTGGAACCCTAAACAAACTACACCTGCACATTTTAATCAACACCTATTGAGGAAGGCTATGTTACAAATTTGGTTGGAAATTAAAAAGCAATTCTATAGGAAAAATCCCGACATGGATGGCCCTGCTGGAGGCAATTACTATCCCGAGCCTGATGTCGGCATCAAGATATATTACATATAAAGAATGCTTAGATATAAATGGAAATTTAAAAACCCAAGACCAGCTTGAATTGGAAGGAATTAGCTTATCATGGTGGGAGAGGAACCAACTTACATCTAGATACCAAAAAGATAAACAGACAAGTATATACATGGAGTATGTTGAACTGGATAAGATATTCATGGGGCCAAGAGATAAACTTATCCGTAAATTTTATAACATCCTTCTGGACCAAAAAATGCAGGATGAAGAAGTAAAAGTAGTAATGATCTCGTGGGCTAGAAACTTTGGGCATAATATTGATTTGGCCAAATGGGGAAAAATGTGGCAAAACATGAGAAGGATGACGGCAACGACAATGAAAGAAAACCTTTTTAAAATGTTTAACCGGTGGCATTTTACTCCAGAAAGGTTAGCCAGATGCTACCCCAATTTATCAGATAGATGTTGGAAATGCAAATTAGAAAAAGGGACCTATTTTCATGTTTGGTGGTCATGTAAAATAACACAGAGATACTGGAAGGAAATTTATGAAATTATTGTTCAGATGATTATGTTGGGAATCCCATATGAACCGGAGTTATTTATGTTAAATAATATGCCTGATAATTTAAAAAAGACGGATGAATATTTACTTATGCATCTCCTCCTAACGGCAGCTAGGATCTTATTTGCAAAATACTGGAAACAGGAAATTATACCATCTAGGGAGGAATTTATAATTAAAGTAACAGAAGTGGCTGAATTGGATAATCTTACCATGAAGCGCCGAGGGAAAGATGATGATGTATTCAGGAATACTTGGTTTAAGTTTTATAACTGGCTACAGACAAATGTATAGCTTAAGATATGGAGATGAGGGTACAAAAAAAATATATTTAAATAGAGTGGTGCCAGGGAATCCAGGTTTCTGTGTTATCTATATGTTTGTTTTTTACATGTTTGGTTTTGTATTATGTTATTTGTGTTTGTATGGGTAATGTTCAATAAAGTACAAAAAAAACAAACAAACCAAGATTGAAGTCGGTGTCATCACACATGATAGCCCACAGGACCGCCCCTGGCCAACCAAGACTTTCACAAGGCCAGTCACTGATGTGGTCCTGCTCTGCACCAAAGAAGAACTTGAAGACTGAAGACTCAAGTTTTGCATGCCTTAATCTTCTGTCTAGAACATAGTTAGCAGTGTAGCATGCCAATTATGCATAGTTGTAGTTATCAGGCTTCATTAGCAATGCATGTGGGTAGTGGAACCTGTAGGATTCCAGGCAGGGAGTGTGCTGCCCCCAGTAAGCGTTAACTATAGGCAGTAGTAGTTTGGTAAAACTACTGTGTATCTTTAAGAGTAGTTGCACCTGGGAATTGTAGTTCTCAGTTAGGGGTCCCAGCAGCTTCCCTCTGACTGGCTCATTAGGGTAGTTTCCTGAGCTCAGAGGCGCAAAGATAGGCATTTTATTGCTCTTTTCCTGCTTTTTTGTCTATCCTTACCACGAAGGAGAAGGGGAAACTCATCTCTTTCTCACCACGGCCATAGAATTGACCTAGATCACAAAGATGTAACTTCTCTATCCAGCTATCAGCTTGATTGTGAGTAAATGATCTACTGAATGCATGTGAAGTTAAAGTTCCTGACCTGTCTGGTTGACAACTTCCTTTTTCAAACGGTGGAGGAAGCTACAAAGGGCTCAGCCATATTGGACTTAATATTAACCAACAGGGAAGAATTGGTAGATGGGGTGAAGGTGGTGGGGACCTTAGGGGGAAGTGACCATGTCCTCCTTGAATTCCAGTTGCTGGGGGGGGGGGTCAAGGAAGTTCGTAGCCAGACTCGTAGGTTAGATTTTAGTAGGGCCGACTTCAACAAACTCAGATGCTTAATGGGAGTCATGTAATGTATACTGCCTTGGTCAGGCTGCACCTGGAGTACTGTGTGCAGTTCTGGAGGCCTCACTTCAAAAAGGATGTGGGCAAAATCGAGAGGGTGCAGAAGAGAGCAACAAGGATGATCAGGGGTCTGGAGACTGAGACCTACGAGGAAAGGCTGAGGGCCTTGAGAATGTTTAGTTTGGAGAAGAGAAGACTGAGGGGGGACATAATTGCTCTCTTTGAATATTTGAAAGGCTGTCATTTGGAGGAGGGCAAGGGGCTGTTCCAGTTGGCAGCAGAGGATAGGACCCGAAGCAACGGGTTTAAATTACATGCAGAAAGGTATTGGCTGGATATTAGGAAAAACTTTTTCACGGTCAGAGTGGTTGAAAGGTGGAATCAGCTGCCTAGGGAGGTGGTTAGCTCCCCTTCACTGACAGCTTTCAAGAAGAGGATAGACGAATATTTGTCAGAGATGCTTTAGGCTGGTCCTGGATTGGGCAGGGGGTTGGACGAGAAGGTCTGTATGGCCCCTTCCAACTCTATGATTCTATGACTCCAGAAACAAACTGGTAACCACTGGAATTAGTTCACCAAAGCTGTATTGGCCCCTTCCCAGTTGGAAGGCATCCTGGCATGTGGAACCAGTTGCACCTTCCAGACCATCACCAAAGCGAGTCCCATTTAGAGGTTTATGGAGTGGAGATATTATACCCTCACTGGTATTCTTGTATCATGGCCCTGTGATATACAAAGCTGTGCTGGGGTGGGTGGTGATGGCCACAAGGTTTTAGAAGGGGGTTTAGACAGATTAATGGAGGAGAGGTCCAGCAATGGCTACGAGCCATGCGGACTGAAGGGAGTTTCCATATACAGAGGCAGTGAACTTATGAATACCAGAGGTTGGACACAGCATCAGGAGAAAGCCTTGGCCTTTAGGTCGGCCACTCTGTGAGACAGGACATCAGACTAGATGGACCACTGGTCTGATCTAGTAGGGCTCTTCTTATGTTCCTGCCACTGGGCAGAAGCACAGCAATCAGACTGGCACTAGACTCAGGGTGGCTGAAATAATTTACTCTCCCAAAACACCTTTATGGAGTTCTCTACCACAGAAAATAGCAATAACAGGGATGAGTTTAAAAGAGGATTTTGCAAATTTCATGGAGGGTAGCTCTACCGCATTAACAAAGTAGAGCCTCCAGGTTCAGAGACAGTAGACCTCTGAACACTAAATCCTGGGGCCAACAGCAATAGATGTAATGAAGGTTCCCAGGACACTTTGCTGAGCACAGCAGGAAACGGGATGGTAAACTAGTTGGTTTTTTGGGGTCCGATCCTGCAGGGATCATCTTCCTTTAAGCAGATATGGGTCTACAAACTCCAGCTGAATAGCTATGTGGATTTTTTTGATCCACAATTAATCTATAACCTGTTTGTGAACCCAGTTGCATGGTAAACCTCAGGGAATTAAATCAGTGTCACCAATATTAAATTTATTGTAGGCTAGCCTGATCTTGCCAGATCTCAGACGCTAAGCAGGGTCCGCCCTGGTTAGTATTTGGATGGGAGACCACCAAAGAAGACCAGGGTTGCTATGCAGAGCCAGGCAATGGCAAGCCACCCGTTCATCTTTTGCAGGGTTGCCATAGGTCCCCAGTGAACCTGACAGCATAAATGAGGTGCATGATTCACAAGGATAGAATGGGATTTCAAGGGGTAAATGGAGGCCAAAGGGTACTTACATGCAGAAAGGTACTGTATGGTACTTACTTCATCAATTACCTCAATGATCAACAATTCCTTCACGTTTTTATCCCATTTTTCTCTAAGGCCTCCAGCCTCTGGTTTGATGCATTTAAACACAGCCTCTGGTTTCGCAGGCAGAATCCCTTCTGCTTTGTATCTATCCCAGAGGGGAGGAGGAAGGAAAGAAGAAAAGAGACAAATGAAACCCAAACTGGGTTTTCAATATGGCATCTCCAGTTTCCCCTACAGAGGCTTCCTTTGGTGTAGAAAATGGCAGAATGCTCAACAGCAGCTCTTAAGACTGCTCACTTTTGGCTAATTCTCCATACTCTTAATAAAACAAACCAACCACTGCAAGTAGTTAATTACCACATTTTAGAAAAAGGCTTGCATGTGCCAGACGTGAACTTGCAGGGAGACTTTTCTACCCAGAACTGTATTCAAACAAGTGGCAACCCACAGGCAGTTCAGAATTCCATCCCTTCAGTCTGACACCTTGGGGAGATCAGCGCTCACTCTGTGTGAAGATGCTTAGGATTAGGAGAGCAGCAAACCAAGGATGAAGACCTCACTCAGCCAGTTTGGTGTAGTGGTTAAGTGCGCGGACTCTAATCTGGGAGAACCGGGTTTGATTCCTCACTCCTCCACTTGCAGCTGCTGGATGACCTTGGGCAAGCCGTAGTTCTGGCACAGCTGTCCTTGAAAGGGCAGTTCTTTTTTTTTTAAGTACCTGAGGTTACACTTTTATTATTATCATTTTCATTATATACTACATACAAACACCAAACTACCCCCAACAACATATAACATAACAAGAGACTTTTATCACTTCTTCTGCTTATTAAATTTCTAAATTCATTATCTATTTTACTAAGCTTATCTTTTCTGCATTCTCAAATTACTACATTTGTCTATCAGTTGCGTTTACATTATACCAATCATAGAATCTCTTCCAAGTTTTTTGAAAAGTCCATTCTGTGCCGGCTCTCATCTCAAGTGTCAGGTTGTCATTTTCCACCGTTTCAAATAGTTTATTCACATATTCTTGTTTCGTTGGTATTTCCATTATTTTCCAATATTTGGCATATACTATCCTTGTCGACATATAAACTATCAAATACCTATCTGCTTTATCAAAGTCTTTCAGAAATATATTCAATAACAGTATCTCTGGAGTAAACGGGATATTAGTTCTTGTTATTTTTTCCATTATCTCATGAATCCATCTCCAATACCTCTTTGTAACATCACATAGCCACCACATGTGATAAAAAGAGCCAATCTTATTTTTACATTTCCAGCATTTATCAGAGCAGTTACTATTTTGTTTAGTTAATCTATCTGCTGTAACATACCATCTATAAAACATCTTATACATGTTCTCTTTATATGACACAGCATTAGTTAATATTATATTCTTCAGCCAAATCTGCTCCCACTCTTCTAAATTAATATTATGGCCTATATTCTGGGCCCTCTCAGCCCCACCTACCTCACAGGGCATCTGTTGTGGGGAGGGAAAGGGAAAGGAGTTTGTAAACTGCTCTGAGACTTCGAGTGAAGGGCGGCGTATAAATCCAATCTCCTCCTCCTCCTCCTCTAAAACTACCTGGGTAGTTTTAGAAGAGAATATGAAGAGAAGGTTCATATTTGATCATCTGCTATTCCCTCTGCCTTCATATTTGGAACTTCTTCCAATATGCATATTTGATCATCTGCTATTCCCTCTGCCCTCTCAGCCCCACCTACCTCACAGGGCGTCTGTTGTGGGGAGGGAAAGGAGTTTGTAAACTGCTCTGAGACTCCGAATGAAGGGCGGCGTATAAATCCAATCTCCTCCTCCTCTAAAACTACCTGGGTAAACATGAAGAGAAGGTTCATATTTGATCATCTGCTATTCCCTCTGCCTTCATATTTGGAACTTCTTTCTATTTATGCTGAACTGACAGCTTGCTCATGGCTTTCAGGAGTTTCTCCATGCAATTACTTCTGGATGTGCGAAACCTTGTTGACATGTTTATCCTTCTGAGCCTCCAAAGGGATCAGAATAACAGAGTTTAGCATTTCTTAAACTGTGACTGGGGGATCTCTAGAGGTCCATGAGTATTCAGTGTGGGTGGGTGGGTGGGGGTTTCCCCAAATTCCTTTTTAAAGAAAAGCGGGCACACCCAGCTAATAAGAAATGGAGTCTTCCCAGCTTTCTAGGAATAAACGCACAAAGCTGTCTCATTCAGAATGTTGATCTGTCAAGATCTGACTAGCAGTGGCTCTTCAGTGTCTCAGCCTGAGGTCTTTCACATCACTTGCTACCTGAACCTTTTAAACTGAAGATGCCAGGGACTGAACCTCAGACCTTCTGCATGCAAAGCAGAGGCTCTACCACTGAGCCACAGCCCCACCCAATCACCAATCAAAGGTAGCTCTTCTGGGCAACATCTCCAAACTTAGCTGTCTTGCAAAGAGGTTGCAAGCACTGAAAGAAAACACTGGCCAAAACAAACATTTCAAGTGGAAGGAAACTAAGAGTGCAATTTGTTAAACCATTCTAAGCACACTGACTTCTTATGGCCTTAGACAGGTATAACTCTGATTAGAACTGTAAATGCCATGACTTCCAGTTTACGGCGACACGCAGGCAGACGCATCTCCCGGACGTCCCGGGGATGCAATCTGCACACCAACGTGTAGGAGGGGGTGCAACGGGTCGCAAACCACCACCCCCGGAGCCTTGGTAAAAGGCTTCTAGCAAGGGGGCTTTTGAGGACCTCTTCGCTGGCACGATGCTGGAGAATTGAGGCGCTCCTCCGTCCCGAAGGTCCTGCCGCTGAGTGTCCGCATGGAATTAGTGCTGCTGACCGGGACAAGCGTCGGAGATCGGGTGAGAAAAAACGATGCTGAGCATGGCCGGCTGGTCAGCAACGAACTGTGAGTCGAGTTGAAGCTAGCATGAAGAAAGCTGCCCCCCTTAATGAGCGACGAAAAGCGAGCGGGGGAGGGGCCTTTCCCAAACGCATAAACAAAAACACGGAAATAAAGAAGGGGGAGTGGAAAAATAAGCATCTAAATTTGTTTTAAGAGACTTACCAGAGCGCAGATAAACGTATGGGCGAATATCAGAGACTTTAGCAACTTTGAGAAAAGTAAATAATCCAAAAAGATGGCGGGGAAGAAACCAGATAAAGACAAACTGTTGAAAGTGAAACTAGTGGGCAGTCCTCAAACGGAAGAGACCACTGAGCTTTCTAAACTGTTGGCAGATTCCTTGCGCCCTCTGCTGGATGAGATGACTAACATTAAGCAACAATTGTCAACAATTGGTCAGAGTTTGGCTTCACAGCAGCTACAACTGATTAAATCTTTAAATGCAACAGAGCAAATGGCAGAGAAGGTGAAGGAAATGGACGCCAATACTAAAAAAGTCAAGAAAAAGGTGCAAAAGCTGGAAATGAAACAAGCTACGGAAGAGTCACAACTTTTACAGCTCCAAATGGAGAAAGCAAATTTTGTCCTACGGTTCCAAAGGGTCCCTAAATCTAAAGGAAAGAATCTGAAGCAACTGCTGAGTTATGCAATAGCCCCATTGACAGATTTGACAGCGGAATATCTATACAGCAAGATGGATGTGGTCTACAGGTCCTATTCCTTATACATCAAGAAAAATAATCTGCCTGGGGAAATAGTAGTCAGATTCTCGAAGAGACAGGTGAGAGATTCTATTTTGAAAGCAACTACGGGAACACCCTTGAAAATTGGGGACAATAATATCAGGATTTTAAAAGACATTCCATTTGAAATAAGACAGAAAAGAAAGAAATATAAAGACTTAATCCTTTTTTTACAAACAAATGGCATCAGTTATAGATGGTTAATCCCATAAATCATTATTTTCAAGCTCCACAATAAAAAAGAAAAGATTGACTCTGTTCCTAAAGCACATGAGTTTCTGAGAACGCAGCTGAGGGAACCAGCAGAGGACAAGAAGGAAAAAGAAGAAAGCAAATTGGATGGCGAGTTAGGCTTGGTGTCTTCTGACGAGGACTCTCTCTGAAAAGGGGGTGGCAGCCCCCAAAAGTCCATATAAATGGAGGATAAGAAAAGATATGAGAAAATAAAGGCTGAAGGACTCTGAATTGTACCTGAAAATTTAGAAATAACTTTGGGATGCTCTGAGGGTTTCATTTAACAGATAAATGGATGGTTAAAAGATAAATAACTTAGCATAACCGACTATGTTCAATGTATTACTAGCATTTTAGGTTAATATTGAGATAAGCTGATGTATTGATCTCCCACTCTTGGGGTTTTAGTTATTAGTGGGTTTCTTTTCTTTCTCCTTAGATGTAGTTTCCCTTCCTATATTTTCAGTTGTAGTTTGTAGTTTTTTTGGGGGGGGGGAAACAATAAAAAATTCCCCTTAGGGGGATGCAAAAAAAACCCCTGTAAATGCCACAAAAATGGAGAAACTGGGCTGATCAGATTGGAGGCCAAGATAACTTTGGCCTCCATAAATGCTTGGCTAAGGTTATGCCACAGACCATCTGATATCACTGCTCTAATTCTTACAGACAGCTGTTGCTCTAATTGGCTTAGTGCTGTACACCATAAGATATATCTGCTTGGCTTCTCTTCTGAGTCGCTACAGATAATGCCACTAGAACAAGCTAGGGCTATTGTTAAACAAAGAATATATGACACCGAAAGGCAAAGTGATATTACTAATGGGTCGACTTTTTTGGCCCCAAAGGAAACAAAATATATAGTTGCTCCCGCAGTATATTTATCAC